TTGGATATGAAATGATTATAACCAACTCGGCGCTACGCGCCTCGTTGGCTATCTATCATCTCATATCCAACGCGCGCTCGTGGAATAATTGTTAAATATCCAATAGAGTATTCAAACGAGTCTTTCTTTCTGGTATTTTCCTTAAAGTATGAGATATTGATTGCCAAAAATCAAAGTCGATTCCCAATATATCTTTCCACTGCGACTCTAAGTAATTCAGCTTTAATTTAATTTAGCTAACGTCCTCCCCATAGACTCACTGACTATTCAGATTTCATGACAGGACTACTGGGATGGTGGTACTTCTTCAATCATGATCCGAGACACTGAATTCCATCCTGTGTAAGCGTTACCCGGTGAATACCCGGAACACTTGCCTATCCAGAGTTCAACGCGAATCGTTCCTCGCGGGAGATTCTCACAGAAACCTTCAAAGAAATGAGGTCGGAGGATGTTGGGCGTTGAACTATAAAGAGTGTAGAGGACTGAATCAACTGGCAAAGGTCCGCTGCATTCATTTCCGTTGAACTTGAAATACCATCTGCTGCATTTGTAATTGGAATTGCGTAAACGAATGTTTCCTTGGTATGAGACTTTTAGGGCCGTATTTTGGTATAGTTTGTTAAAAGAACATTCCTGAAAAAAAAATCATGAAACACACTGAAAAAAATAACCCCTATAAAATATCATGAGCACTGATAAAAAAATGCGGAGGCGAAATAAATAATATATGAAACCTGTTGTTATCAAAGCGGACTAATCGTTAGACTTTTTTTTGTAAGAACACACTAAGAAGATACTTAGGCTGAAAGTCAGTCATGAACGGCTCTTTTTTTCTTACTTTGGTGAGAAGTAAAATCGAGGGTAGGAGAAATGTAAAACGGTGGTCTAAAAGTCGAACATAGTCTGGTCATGTCCGAATTGATAAATTACGACACAACTTTAGGAACGTGTTAAGAATGTTTTCAGACGAAGAGCTTCCAGCCTCAACACCAAAACTACATGTTCTTACATAGAAAATTGTGTACTATATAAATAGATTTGAATTGAGATTCTCACGATAACCAGCTCCTACAACATCGATGTGGCCAGTTAAAAAGTAATACGAGTAGAACTTAGTCAGATACTGGACACACGGCTGACTCGTTAAAAAAAAAAAAAAAACCTTTTTGTGAAGAAAAGGTACAACTTTTGTTCTGTGGCCATAGGGGGTTCAAGTTGTGGTTGGAATAACTGTCTTATAACGTTGTAAAGACGCCTCTTTGGACATGACTTCCCTGCCCAGCGGCTAGGCAAGGAGTTCCTTCCAACTACAGTATGTACAGTCTGTACTGACTGATTCATTAAGTAAAGGTCATGATCGGTCAGCGTACCTAAAAATGATTTGGTTTCAATTATGTTGGGTTACTTTATACGAAGACTAAGAAAAGCAGATGTTTACGGCTCATACTGATTAATTTCATTGATAATCTTGTGGAAATTGCTTAACCTCCGGTAAAGTTATGTAAAGACTGTCGGTAGGTGATCATTAGCGTGTGGACGAACACTACATCCTACTAAAGTACTGACTATGAAACTGAACGATAATATGTAACTTTAAACCAGTTGAAAATTCCGGATGGTGGAGGAGGAAAAAAGGATAATCTGAAGAAAATGATGCTACAGGCTCATAGTCATTTTTAGTTAGATCGATGCGCTTCTTCTTGTGGTGTAGGTGTCAGTTGATTGACTAAGTTAAAGTTAAAGTTAAAGTGTCTTCTGGTGGGCAACTAACTAACACGCTCCTCAATAGGTTCAATCCCAACTCACTCATGCACTGAAGTTTTCTAACCGCTAAATCGCATCTAAGGAGCTCCAATGTTTGCGAACTGAGGTATAGAGGCTACTCACCTTTATTTTACCGCTGTCCGTATCCGTTTCTGCCCTCCATGCGCACTGTTTCCAGTTGGCCAGCTGTCTGGGGACAATATTTGCTCCATCTCCTTTCTGTCCCTTTGTTCCGATTCCTCTTTCTCCTTTGTATCCTTTGGGACCCCTGGGGCCAGTCATCCCAGGGATACCCGCACCATTCCCGCCTTTGCTTCCTGTTTCTCCTTTAGAGCCCTTGTAGCCTCTTGGACCAATTTTCCCGGGAATTCCTTCTCTGCCCTTTTCCCCCATGCTACCAATTTCTCCTTTTTCTCCAGTCAGCCCTTTGTGCCCCCGGGGGCCTCTTAAGCCAGGTTTACCGGGGATTCCTCCATCTCCTTGACGACCCTTTATTCCCGTGTCGCCACTTCTTCCCGGCGGACCTGAAGGACCAGACGAGCCCGGCACTCCTGGGGTTCCCGGTATTCCGTTGTATCCAGGCCTTCCCTGCATTCCCGGCAGTCCTGGCATTCCACATGACGAGCACGACTGTTTGCAAAGAGGACAGGAAAATAATTTTTAAGCTTCAGATTGAATGCGTTTTTTCCGTCACGCTTTCTTTTTTTTTGGACATCGATGAGCAGATGATGATTGGCCTGGCATTTCGACATGTCAGATTTACTTACTTGGTATGCTACTTGTAACATTGCGATCAAAGAGCCGTCACGTTGGATTATAACATTTTATCCTGGAAACATTTTGAATTATCTACTCAGATAAAATCAAACAATCTTGTTGAATCATAGACCTTTGCAGGTTTTTATCCAATAAGGAAATCGAAATGTGGCTTTCATTTGGCACAAGGACGAAGTAAAAACAGAAAAATACTCTGTTTTGGACATCGGTGGGATCTGCCCAAACCGGAAGTTTACCGCAAACGTTATTATCTTATGATACATTTTGCTTCTTTTCCGATTTTCACTGGCTAGATTGCGCTTTTGGTGAACAAATTCTTTGTACTATCCTCTGATGCACTTCATTCGTGCGATTTAACAGTGAAATACGGTGATGATTATTGTCAAGTACAACTAGCAAAATAACTGACAAACGACTCTGTTAGCAAAGTTAACAGCCAGTGCTTACCTTGCATTGTGATGATGAAACATTCCTTTGAAGTTCGTTGGCATTTGTTAATAAGTACATAAAGGAACTGACAGCGATAAGCGCAGCCAAGGAGAAATCCTGCATGGCTGCGTTATATTGGATGCTGTTGATTATAAACTTGTTGGATCTTCAACGCTCTGAAAAAAAAAAACCCTTTGAACGTAGACAGCTTATTCCTATGCATATAACACAGATTAGCCTCAGCTCGTCTTTGCACAACAGGAACATCATTCTATCCTAAGATGATAATGATTGGTTACTGTTCATGTGTACGTGGTGAACATATCACGTGCATCAGCGCCATTGGAACAGTCGCGCTAACGCAGGATACAAGTTCTCTTTTTCGGTTTCTGCGTTCTCCTAAATGACTGTTGGATGTTTTGGACAAGCAATTGACCTCTGGCTGATATAATTTTCTAAAAGTTTACAAAAATAAGGAGCACGTACTGGTACTGGAAGAAGAGTTCATCTTATGATAAAAAATAAAAAAGCCGTAGTTTTTTAGTTTCAACGTCAAGGTGATAGTATTTGAATGTGAAATGCGTTTATACTGATGATTTTAAAATCGAAACAGAATAATTTGGAAGTCATCTGCTTCCGGCTAAGTCGATGTACTTTGACAAGAAGGAATACGATTCCCATCTGAGACATAATGATTGGTTAGTCGCTCGAACTCTTCCTTGATATCACTTGCTTCAGCGCATCATGTACGTCTGCCATAGACATGCTCACACTCGTCTTCCTTTTCCGCATTCTCTACTGGCCGAAGAGCGTGACTGGTTTGTTTTCCAAAAATATTAGCCAGTTGATCTGGCGTTATTGTCCACGTAACAAAAGATAACAAGGCGATCTTCTCAAAAGGAGGAAACTGGAATGTTTAAGCTTTAAAGCTCCGAGGACAGTATTTTTTTTACTGTGATTTTTGTTGTGCCACAAGTAAGGAGAAGAAAGAGTGCGGGGTCTGTAAATCGGTTAATCCTTTAAACGCAAGGAGTGATTAACATGTAACCTCTCCTTGTGATATCGATACATTATTCAGTATCAGGTAATGAGAATACTTAAACTTATCAGCCTGAAGTTGTTACTTGATCTAACACCAAATTCTCGAATCTAAGTTACCAGGAAATGTGCAGCAGTTACAGTGGAGACTTAACAATCAAATCTTGGGATTTAAAGGGTTAATTTGATATATCATGGAAGTAAAGGGTCATATGGGATATTTTGTGTAATTTCATATTATTTTGCTTAAGCGAGTTATCGTTGTATCTTTTTCTCTCTTTGAAAGCATATTTATCCTATGCACCATTGCCTGAGCGGTATCAGGGGAGAGGGGTGGGGGTAGATTAATTGCAAACGAGTATTTCAGGGGAGAAGGGTGGGGGTAGATTTATCGCAAAGGAGCATGGCTGTCGGAAGTGATAATACCTCGCCGACATCAAGGTGTCAGACTTTTAAGCGTCGTTTGCGAATCCAGTTGATTTCCTCTTCAACTTATGTTCACAGTTCTTTGTGTGTGTAATTTGCTCTAGATCGACAGTAGAAGGATGATATTGATGATATCAATGCAAACCCCAGGGGGGGTAAGATATCCAATTAAAACTTTAAACCGAATGATCGATATAATAACGAAATAAATTCAGTGCATAGTTAGTACACTTGAATGACTGGATTGAAAAGCCGGAGAAAAATCAAGATAAAAACAACGGTGCTCTAGTTTAGCTATAAAGCTCCCAAACAGAGCATAACGTTTGTTTTAGTTGTGACATATATTTGCTAAATTAAAGAAAATTATGCACTGACGATATAATACAAAGTGTTCGAAATTTCACTTAGCACAGACTATTCCCCCTTCCCCTCCCCTCCCCTCCCCTCCCCTTCCATCCTCTGCCCCTCCATCCCCTGACCCCCTCTCACACCTCAACGAAATAATTAGTCTAATGAACCACTGAACGAAGAAATCTATTACTAAGTGTTCAAAATATTCATCTCTAAAAGCTATAGCGGTCGAACCGCTGCTAACGGTTTGTTGCAGGCCACGTAAAACAAAATGATCATTCTCGTTTAACTTGATTTTAAGAAACTTGGTCAGTTTTTTTTCCCTTTTTCATATTTAAACAGATTCAAGTGCACCTCACCCCACCCCCCTCCTTGCCTGAGCGCAAATATAAAAACTATGTATCAGATTCATGCATATCATGATCACCTCTCCATATTAAGTAAACAGCGTAAATAGAGCATATTAAAGAGAGTACTCAAGCGCGTTTTTCTTTCTGATATTTTATTAATAGTATGAGACATTGTTGCCAAAAATCAAGTTTGTTTCCTACATATCTTTCCATTGCGATTATAAGTAATTTAGTTTTCCCCTCGGCATTATGTCTAAAAGAATTTAGTCTTTAACTCAGGTTTAATTTTGATTGACTCTTGAAATTTAGGTACTAACGTCATCCGCGCATGAGCTCATTGACTATTCAGCTTTGATGACAGGACTACTGGGATGGTGGTACTTCTTCAATCATGATCCGGGACACTGAATTCCATCCTGTGGTAGCGTCACCCAGTGGAAACGAATGGCACTTGCCTACCCAGAGTTAAATCCGAACCGAGACTCGAGTGAGATTCTCGCAGAATCCTTCGAAGGAATGATGATGAAAAGTGTTGGGAATTCCACCACTCCAGTCGGTGTAAAGAACTGAATCAATCGGCAAAGGAACGTTACATTCAGTGCCATTGAACATAAAATATCATCTGTTGCAGTCTTGATCAGGGCGTACACCAATGTTTCCTTGGAATGAGACTTTAAGGGCCGTATTGTCATACACTTTGTTGAAAGAGCATTCCTGAAAAGATTTACCAACAAGAAAATGAGCATTTACCACCGTTATTCAGGTTCAAATGACATAACCAGAGTGTCGCTTAAAAAGTAGCCTGGGTAAAAAAATTG